GCGTGCGGATGTATGGGATGGGGATCCACCACAAGTGGCATGTTTTACGCGTATATAATTGCATATATATACCTATGTACGCACAAATCGCTTTATATATATATACATATATATGCGCGTATGTATATATGCTGGGTGCCTGGCGCGTGAAATGGTACTGATAAATTTTGGCCAGCTCATGTTTCGCCGATTCGCCGTTTGGCCCTTTTATAGCGCTTTGCCCTTTTTTTTTTTTTGCTGCCTTACGGTATTTGGATTTGCGTCCTTTCCTATGTATTCCTTTTGTTTGTGCCAATATGTTTTACTTTTATCTCATTATTTTTGTTTCTCCTTTGTTAAGGTAAAAAGATTTTAGTTGTTCGTTTCGGGGGTTTGCTTGTTTATCGGATTGCTGTTTTTTTTTGTTGGTTTTATATCCGTTTAAATGGTTTATACGCGATGTTCTCATTCGTGGGCTTATTTTAATTTTTTCTTTTTATTTTTTGGTTTTATATATTATTTTGCTTTGGTTTATTTAATATGTTTTAATTATAGTTTGGTTTTCCTATTTCTCTATGTTTTTCTTTTTTTTTATGCTTTGCTTAATTTTTTATAAAAAATTGTGGATGCATAAAAAAGGGGTAAAAAGCTATAGTAAAAATAAGGGGGTTTATATATGTATATATATATATATATATATATTTATTTTTTAAAAATTGTTTTGTTCCTTATTCTGTAGATTTTTTTTTTTCTCTAATTTGTATTTTTATTTTTTACTTCTCTATGCCTAACATATATTCGTGCTTAATGTTTTTCTAAAATATTGCGGAGTTTGTGCTTCTTTATGAATTTTCCTATTTTAAGGTTTTTTTTTTGTTTTTGTGCTTATTATTTGGATATTTCGTTTTTGCAACTTTTTCTTACTTTTTTGGGCTGCCACAGGTTCGCGCACTGCGCTCATTCGGGTATAATACTATACAGTTATATAAATATGGGCGTGGGTGGTCTGAATGAAGAATCGCCTGTGAATGCTGCTATGTCATATAAATGTATATATATAATATATATACATATTATATATATGTATATATATGCGCTTATGTTTTCTAAGAGTGCGTCGGTGGAGTGCAATGTATGCCGCGGGGGCTTTGTGTTTTTGCGAACCGGTTTCTACGGCGCATCACGAGCAACCGACGCGGGAATCATGCATGCCAGCGCATGTAAGGATTGTTCATATATATATACGGTATTATATACGTATAATTTATATATATGTATATATTATTATATATGTAATATATTTATATATATGTATGTATTTCTTATGTGCGGTATGCGTTTTTGTGCCGGGAAGCACTCCGCCTTGGCTGTACTTATGCACCCCCCGCCCTTTGCTTCTTTCCACGAGCGGTGGCGCGGGTTTGTAATTTTTCTCTTACCACTGCGGTATACATATATATATGTATATTTATATATGTAAATATATTTATATATATATTTTTTAGATATGTATACTTGCAGCATGCCGCTTATCTGTGCATACCCGATTTTTCCCGGTTCCTTAAATAAAAAAAAAAAAAATGGTGTGTTGAATATCCTTCCTTCTCTACTTAGGGGACAACGAATAATACCTTGCGGGTTATTTTTGACTGACAGAAACAGGTAGACTAATTTTCTGG